TGTAAAACAAAGAAATAATCATCAGAGTAAATGGACAACCCAAACAATGGGAGAAAATATTTGCAAATTATGTATCCAACAAAGGACTAATACTCAGAATCTACAAGAAACTTTAAATCAATAAGAAAAAAAAACAAATTATTCCATCAAAAAGTGGGCAAATGACAATGAATAGACATTTCTCAAAGTTAAACAAATGGCCAACAAACATATGAAAAAATGCTCAACATCACTAATTATCAGGGAAATGCAAATTGAAACCACAATATGATACCACCTTACTCTTGCAAGAATGGCCATTATTAGAAAGTCACAAAACAACAGATGTTGGCATGGATGTGGTGAAAAGAGAATGCTTATACACTGCTAGTGGGAATGTAAATTAGTATAACCTATGTGGAAAACAATATGGAGATTTCTTAAAGAACTAAAATCAGATCTACCATTAGATCTACTAATCTACCAATCCTATTACTAGGTACCTACCGAAAGTAAAATAAGTCATTATATTCAAAAGACACCTGCATGCGTATGTTTATTGCAGCACAATTCACAATTGCAAAGATGTGGAACCAACTAAGGACTCACTGACAAAAGAGTGGATAAAGAAAATGTGGTATAGGCCAGGCGCGGTGGCTCACGCCTATAATACCAGCACTTTGGGAGGCCGAGGCAGGTGGATCATGAGGTCAAGAGATTGAGACCATCTTGGTCAACATGGTGAAATACCATCTCTACTAAAAATACAAAAGTTAGCTGGGCATGGTGGCGCACACCTGTAGTCCCAGCTACTCGGGAGACTGAGGCAGGAGAATTGCTTGAACCCAGGAGGTGGAGGTTGCGGTGAGACGAGATCGCGCCATTGCACTCCAGCCTGGGTAATAAGAGTGAACTCTGTCTCAAAAAAAAAAAAAAGAAAAAGAAAAAGAAAATGTGGTATATATATACACACTACGGAATACTACTCAGCCACAAAAAAGTACAAGACAATGTCTTTTGCAGCAACTTGGATGGAGCTGGAGACCATAATTCTAAGTGAAGTAACTCAGGAATGGAAGAACAAATAATGTGTGTTCTCACTTATCAGCAGGAGTTAAGCTATGGGTACACAAAGGCATATAGAGCAGTATAATGTCCTTTGGAGACTCAGAAGGAGGAGGATGGGAAGGAGATGAGAGATAAAAAAACTTCATGTTGCATACAATATATACTACTCACGTAATAGGTTCCCTAAAATCTCAGACTTCACCACTATACAATTCATCCATGTAACCAAAAACCACGTGTACCTCCAAAGCTACTCAAATACATACATATTTTTAAAAGAGTCTGGGTTCAGAACCCCAGCTCTTAAACACTTCTCTATTATAGTTCCACTAATTGACTTGTTTGTTTTGTTTTTGTTTTTGTTTCTTTAGTAGAGACAGAGTTTCACCACATTGGCCAGGAACTCCTAACCTCAAGTGATCCATGGCCTCAGCCTTCCAAAGTGCTGGGATTATAGGCATGAGCTGCTGCGCCTGGACAACTTGTTACTGATATAATGTAAGATATGGTACTCTTCTCAAGTTTGTAGATGACATGAAAATAAGAGTAAGAACAAATTCATTACTTTACAGATTACTTATCAAAAAGCATTTAAAAGACAAATAAATAGGAGATTATAACAAGATAGAATTTGATGGGGGTAAAAGGTAACAGCCTGCATTTGCATATAAGCAACCAATTGTACCTTCAGTGGCAGTACTAGTACATAGCAGGTATTTGGTATAAACCTGTCAAATCAATATATGATTGAATTATACGACAATCTATGAAAAAAGAGGCTGTAATATACCAAAAGCAAAAATGAACTTAATAAATAACGTTAGAATATGCTGATATATAGTTATGTTATCTAGAAAGTAGGTTAAATCAGAGCCTTACAAGTCTGTTGGTCCAGTTAGACTAATGCCAGTTATACTGCGTTAACATCAGAGAACTATACCTAACAGATACAGGTAAACTGGAACAAGTTTCAAGTGAAGGTACAGGACTTAAAGCTGTACTACCTGAAGTGTACCAGAAGAATGTTCAAAAATTTGTTGAGAAAAGCAAACATGGTAGCAAATTTTAAAATGTAAGGTATTGTCATGAAAAAGAAGAATCATGGCTGGGTATGGTTGCTCACACCCGTAATCCCAGCACTTTGGGAGGCTGAGGCTCGTAGATCACTTGAGGTCAGGAGTTCAACACTGGCCTGCCCAACATGGTGAAACTCTACCTCTACTAAAAACACAAAAACTAGCCGGGCTTGGTGGCACATGGCTGTAGCTCCAGCTACCTGGTAAGCTGAGACAAGAGAATTACTTGAACCTGTGAGGCAGAGGTTGCAGTGAGCCGAGATCGCGCCACTGCACTCCAGCCTGGGTGACAGAGTGAGACTCTCTCTCAAAAAAAAAAGAAGAATCATAATTATTCTGGAACTCCCTTAAGTACAACCAACTGACAGAAACTAGCTAAAAGAAAACAAATTCAGTGTCAATATAAGGAAGACTTTTCTAACAGATATGACCACAAAAGAAAAGGTAGGGGAAGAGGGTGCTATCTCAGAAGGGCGTGACTACCCTAAATCTGATAATAACAAGTCTATGAAAGATCAGACCAAATCAAAGATCTCTTTCAAACCTAAGAACCTACCATAAAGTAAAAGGTGATAAGGCCATCCTAACAAGTTTCATATGGGTTAAAATAGTAATGCTACTCACCAAAACAGACTTCAGATGAAAAAATTCAAATGAAAGGAAAAATAGGACAATAGAAGTTATTTGTCAAGTCTGTAAATGGGGAGAGCTTTAAGTCTAAAAGCACTGGAATAAAATTCAAAGAAAAAAACCAAATTGGACTACATAAATATTTAAAACTTTTACATGTGAAAAACATTAGAAGGCAATTAGCTGTGCAAATAGGACCCGCAGATTTTTGTTCTATATCTTTCATTTAAGACTCTGCTGTCTGATATAGCAGCCATAAGCCATATGTGGCTATTTAAATTAATTTTAAATTGATTCAGACATTAAAAATTTAGTTCCTTAATTGCTCTCTAACCACACTGCAAATGCTCAACAGTCACTGTGGCTAGGGGCAACTGAGTAGGACAGTACCGATGCAGAACATTTCAATCACTGCAGAAGGTTCTCCTAGAACTTCAATATTTAAAACAGAATAATTTAATTCAGAAAATTTATTACATAAGGCAGTAGAAGAGCTGAGAGGTGAAACAGGGTCGTATAGCAATCCAGAAATTGACAACAGAGAGCCATTACCATCCCTAAGACTGAAGAACAAAGTACAAAGTCCAATACCGAAGGTCACCTGGCAAAGGCTAGGACCGCAGTATGTGTCTCAGGTGAGAGTAGGAAGACAAGGATGAGACGCAGCCCCTGCTGAATATACATGATGCTAAAAAAATAAAATAAAGGAGGAGGAAGAAATACCCAGATTTCTCTCTTCTTTCTACCCTCCAACCTCCTGCCAGTACCTCCATGGCTGAACCTATACAAAAGCCAGATAATAAAGGAGCCTGGGAAATGCAGACTATAGGAGTCAGACCCCTGTTAAAAACGACAGAGCCAAGAAAGAAGAAAGAAATCTCTGGTCAAACAAGCTAAGACATGGCAAGAGGGACAGAGGAGCTCTCCAGAGTCTCTTTCATAAAGGTACTAATCCCACCCTTATGACCTAATCACCTTCCAAAGGTCCCACCTCCAAATACCATCACATTGGAGATTGGGCTTAAAATTCGCATTAGTATATGAATTTTGAGGGGATAGAAACATTCAGTCTATAGGAGATATAAATAGAAAATTTAGGAAAAAACAAACAAAAGCAGCCAACATTTGAAAAATATCCAACTTCACCAGTACTTAAATATAAATTAGAATAATATGAAAACAAGATTAAATTAGCAATAATTAATCATTTTCATACTTAGTGCTGATAAAGGGCATAACCAGAACAGATACATTCCTAGGGAGATCATTTTCAAAATATTTTCAAAGAAAGTGGGACAATTTTGTAATTTGCATCAACAATTTTAAAAATAATTTGCACTTCTAGACCTACTAAGTGCGGTTCCAGGGATAAATCCAAAGTCCAGCAAATCTAAAGCATGAAAATATTTTAGAAACAACAGATGTCCATTGCAGCTTTATATGATAATATTGAAAAAAAAAAAATGGAAGCAACCTCAATGCCCACCAAGTAGGTCAATAGGTGAGTAAACTAAAGTATGTCTATATGCTTATTCAAAAATAACCCTTGCTGAGTACTTCTTTGCCAGCCACAATGATAGGTGCTTGAAATATAAAAAAGAATAATCACTAGTAATAGAGACTAATTTTTAACCACTTAAATAATGCTTATGAAAGATTGCAATAAAATACGAACATATTTTTGATATGCCCCGTGAACAAAGGTAAATCTAAAAATGAATAAATTGGCCAAGCATGGTGGCTCATGCCTGTATTCCAGCACTTTGGGAGGCCAAGGCAGGTGGATCACTTGAGGTCGAGTTCAGGACCCGCCTGGCCAATGTGAACGGTAAAACCCCGTCTCTAAAAAAAAAAAGAAAAATTAGCCAGGCATGGCGGTGTGTGCCTGTAGTCCACCTGGTGCCTCAGCAGAGGATGAGGTGGGTGAATCGCTTAGACCCAGGAGGCAGAGGTTGCAGTGAGCCAAGATCATGCCACTGCACTCCAGCCTGGGTGACAGAGTGAGACCCTGTCTCAAAAAAATAAATAAAAATAAAAATGAATAAATTTATGTAAGACAAAATATGTTAACAGAATAATAACAGTGGTTGCCTCTGAGTGGTAAGTTTGTAAGTTTATTTTTTCTTCCTTCTTTATATTTTTCTCAACTTTCAAAATTTTCTAAATAAATACATTTTGCATTTTCCTTCAGGGCTATTAATCTAGATGTTTAAGAATTGTAAACGTGCCGCAAAAGTTCTAGTTTACCTGTTGCAATAGTAAACTGCATTATTGGAATCCAATTCTATTGCCTGTGTGTAACAATCCACTGCAGCAGCATAATTTTCTTCTTTCATGTGGTTATTGCCTAAAATAAAGTAACCAGTATATACAGTAAGTATAATATACATTAGAAACATATACTCTAATAGATACATTTTAATCATGGAAACTATAATTATATGAAAGTGAGCCTCATGATTTTTCAGTCACACTGGAGATAAGTTTTATATTGTACTATAGAGTTAATATTATTTAGCTTTCAGTGTGTTTGACTCATTTTAAAATTGCAGAGTATTTTTAAAAATTAGTGTTTATATACCTTATAAAATCTAGACTTAAAAGAGTAAATGCAACAATTATGACTATCTCATGGCAAAAGTGAATCTCTTCTCACCTTCCTTATCTTCATTTCTCTCCTCCCTTTTAGAGCTGCCCCAGCCCGTTCCAGATGCAACACCCTCCCTAATCACCATCTCAATCTGGACCTGGTCTTCCACTCTTTCCCTGTTAAAACACACATCTGCTGATAATCAAGTTCTCAGAACACTGCTGAGGGTAAGCTGATAAAACTAATCATGCTACCATGATATTGGCAGATTATATTTTTATGTGCTATCCCTTCCACAGTTATATTCTTTTTAAAAGGGGATTTGAAGAGATTAATTTTTAGAAAGATAGAATTTCAGATACCATGGCTAGCCTGCAAACTACTGAATTTTCAGGAAGGGCATCTGCAGATATATCTGGCAGTAATTTAGCTAAGTTAATAACTGGTCAGCAAAATAAGATTTCTATGGCTATTTTTTATATACCATTAAATGAAAAAACAGTGTCCTCTGCACTTATAAGAACCAATGTTCAAACTATGTCTGGGTGTGGTGGCTCATGCCTGTAATCCCAACACTTTGGGAGATGAAGACAGGAGGATTACTTGAGGCCAGAAGTTCAAGACCAGCCTGGGCAATATAGTGGGACCCCCGTTTCAACAAAAAGAATAATTAAAAAATTAGCTGGTCACCCAGTGGTGCACGCCTGTAGTCCCAGGTACAGGTACCAGGAGGCTGAGGCAGGAGTATCATGTGAACTCAGGAGGTTGAAGCTGCAGTGAGCCGTGATTGTGCCACTGCACTCCAGCCTGGGTGATAGAGTTAAACCCTGTATTAAAAAAAAAAAAAAAAAAAAAAAGAAAGAAAGAAAAAGAAAACATTAGGAACAATGGAGATTAGGAGGAAGGATTTACATCTCAAAGGCGTCTGTGATTCTTTCCAGTTTTCTTAAACCAGAAACTCTCACATTAGCCTTGTTCTCAATAGATCGTTAGCTCCTTAACAGGAAGAGTGGGGCATAAATTTTCAAGGAACAAAAACAGAATATTCAAGTTACTGTAAATTAGGAATCAAAAATGATATAAAGAGTGACTGCTAATGAGCACATGGTTTTTGTTTGGGGGGGTTATAAAAATGTTCTGTAGGCCAGGTATGATGGCTCACCCTTGTAATCCCAGCACTTTGGGAGGCCAAGGTGGGTGTATGGCTTGAACCCAGGAACTAGAAACCAGCCTGGGCAACAGAGTGAAATCCCATCTCTACAAAAAAAAAAAAAAATTAGCCAGGCTGGTAGTGCATGCCTGTAGTCCCAGCTACTCCAGAAGCAGAAGTGGGAGGATAGCTTGAGCCCAGGAGTTTGAGGCTGCAGTGATCTGTGGTCATGTCACTACCCTCCACCCTGGTTGACAGAGTGAGACCCTGTCTCAAGAAAAAAAAAAAAGTTCTATAATTCATTATGGTAATGGCTGCACAACTCTGTGAATATACTAGAAATTAATGAATTACACACTTTAAAGAAGTAAATTATATATGAATTATATCTCAACAAATGTTTTTAGGAGTTAAAAAAATTAATTTAGAGCTTCCCCAAAAAAGAAATCAATATAAAGCCTCTAAGGAAACTGAGAGGATAACATCATTTTTTATGAATAAACAAAAAGTTATCTACATTAGCCCAGACAGGTTAATTTCCATGTCAAACATTTTAATCTTCTGGGTTATTGAGATTTCAATGATGCTGCTGGGCTCTTTATCTTGATGGCATTTTATGATTACATTATTAGAACTGCATTATATGTCTTTTCCTGTGTCACCTCAAAGGTATAGATATCATAACCTGTGTGTGTGTACACACACACACACACACACACACACACACACACACATGCGCCGCAAATATTATACACATGTATAATGTAAGTTAATGACAAAACTATTAAATAGCAAAATATTTAACATACAAAACTTCAGGGCTGGGCATGCAGCTTTGTAGTACAAATCTTGCAGGCCTGACCTGGCCCTCGTCTATAGCTTAACATAGGTGACATGATGAAAAAATTGATCACAAATCCTTAACAGTGACTTATTTGTTAAAACCAAGAATGCTTCAATAGCCAGCTTGTATAAAATTTAATAATGCAGTAATCAAATGTGCTAGCTAATAAACAAGTCAAGTGCCATGTGCCTGCCTTAAATTTCAAAGAACTCAAAAACACTAAACATATGAAAATTAAAGTAATGCTGAAAACTATTTTCCTCTTTTTAAGTATAAAGAAGAATTGGGATCCTAGAGTATAAGTAGCAAAAACAGTCAGAAGCAATTAGCCCTTGCGATTTGTTCTGCAAGTTTTGATCACAACAGATCTGCTTCTCTTGAAGCACACCATAACTGTACTGCCCACAGGCCATTCTGTACTTCCAGGCTTCTTACTCATCACATTCATTTCTGTTTCATAAATGCCATGTGCACTTATGACAATCTAGTCTTGGTGCTGTAAATCAAAACTAAATCAATTGACAATATTTTTCTCCACAGTTTCAGAAAGGTTTACTAAGTAAGTCATTTTTGTATGAAATATTCACCTTCATCTTTTAATTGGTCAGCTTTTCCCACATCTTCAGGCACTGAGTTTGAAAGGGGCAGAACGTCATTCTGAAATTAAATAAAAATCAATGTACTTCCCTTTAGCTACATAATCATCCCGGAGTACTATAAAGTAAAAATAAATTACCCATGTTTTTAATCATCTGTAACTCCACATTATGAAATCAAATTCCTAAATAATAGTATTAACAAAAAATAGGGAAGAGGTCCTCTCATATATTTTTTATTAGAAATATGAATATGTGTGATCAGGCGTGGTAGTTAATGCCTATTATCCCAGCACTTTGGGAGGTTGAAGTGGGTGGACAGCTTAAGCTCAGGAGTTCAAGACCAGCCTGGGCAACATGGTAAAACCCCATCTCTACAGAAAACACAAAAATTAACCAGGTGTGGTGGCATGTGCCTGCAGACCCACCTACTTGGGAGGCTGAGGTAAGAGGATGGCTTGAGCCCAGGAGGCAGAGGTTGCAGTGAGCTAAGATCATGCCACTGTATTCCAGCCTAGGCAACAGAGCCAGACCGTGTCTCAAAAACAAACAAAAAGAATATGTGAAATTTTTCTAGAGAATAATAAGCAGCTGTGAATCAAACTTTTTAAAAAAATGTGCATTTCCCAAATCCAGCAATCCTACTTCACAAATAAAAAAAATAGAATCAGTTATGTAAAGAATAGGAATATAAATATGATCAAGGGATTGTTTATATTAGTGAAAATTTTGGAACAAAATGTCTAATATCCTATCTAAGATATACCCTACTAAGTCAAAATCATAGTCTACAAAAAATCATTTATAATATGATCATATTATTTAAATATGTTCACACACACATTTAAAAACAGACTGGAAAGACGTGTATCAGAAGTAAAATTTTCATCTCTTCTATCTTTCCGTATTGTCCAATTGTGTTTTTTGGGTTTTTTTTTTTTTTTTTTTCTTTGAGACAGAGTTTCACTCTTTCACTAGGCTGGAGTGCAGTGTTATGATCTCGGCTCACTGCAAGCTCCACCTCTCAGGTTCAAGCAATTCCCCTCCTCAGCCTCCTGAGTAGCTGGGACTACAGGTGCACACCACCACACCCAGCTGATTTTTGTATTTTCAGCAGAGATGAGGTTTCACCATGTTGGCCAGGATGATCTCAATCTCTTGACCTCGTGATCCACCTGCCTCAGTCTCCCAAAGTGCTGGGATGGCAGGCATGAGCCACCGCGCCCGGCCTCAAATTTTTTAAAACAATGAACATATATTAATTTCACTACAAGATAAGAAAACACTATAAAATCCCTGCCTTTACACCTACTATCATTCCAAAACCTCTTTTCCATAAATTAAGTTCAAACTAAAGGAGCTTATGAAAACCAAATGTTAAGATTCAGAAAAATCTTGAATGGTACGGGGAACACAACATATTTTTTCATTTTTGAAAGATCTTATTGAAACTGTATTGCTTTTAAACTTGACTCTGAGTTCACAAGTCAGTCTTTTTTTTTTTTTTTTTTTTTGAGACGGAGTCTCGCTCTGTCCCCAGGCTGGACTACAGTGGTGTGATCATGGCTCACTGAAACCTCAACCTCCAGAGTCCAAGTGATCCTTTCACCTCAGCCTCCAGAGTAGCTAGGACTACAGCTATGTGCCACTATACCTGTGTAATTTTTTTATTTTTTGTAGAGATAGGTCTCCCCATGTTGTTCATGCTGGTCTTGAACTCCTAGCTTAAGCAATCCTTTCACTTTGGCCTCCCAAAGTGCTGCGATTATAGGCATGAGCTACCACACTCAGCACTATGTACTGTATTTAAACTATATCCATCATTATCTTTGTCTTAATTAGAGTTTCCACAAAATTGATAGCTCTAACATCAGAAATATATTTTGAAAATTAGACATAAATATTCACAAGTACAAAATCACTAACAAAGTGTATGGGTCTTGTCCTTACTTTTTTAATCATTATCTACTCATCAGTTTTCCTAAACATAAATATTGGAATAAAAATATAGAAACAAAATGATAACCTTCCTAAGTAGGGGTCACTACTTAAAACTGACTGTAGTTACTCAGAATCTAAATATAATTCAAAGACACATTACCATCCTACAGTACTTGGCTTTAGGATTTGTAGTTTAAATCTTCCAATAAGCCTAGGCAGTTTATACATGGGAAAGAGTGATTTAGGGGATCAGAAAAATAGCAATTGAAAAATAGATTATAATCTCTTCTATCTTCCAAATTCTTCTGAATTATTTACTAAAATTGCCACCATTTTATACTTTGAAAACTAATTATCATATTCATTACATAAATTTGAGTTCACCATGTGGGGGCAAGAGCTACCTACTTTAAATAAACAGAATGAATTCATTTTATATATAAATTTAATTGGGGAGAAATACAGAAAAGCAGTATTCTAAAAATAAAATGCCCAATATCACAATTAAGTACACTTGGTGAGACAAATAATTTCTTTAATTACAATAATCTTGATGCTATTTCAGATGAATTTTATACTTTCTCTGCCATACTCTGTTAACAAACACATATGGAATAAAGCCATAGCTGTAAAATAAGACTACTAAAGAATTATGATACCACATATATCACAACTGTAGCTATACTATGCAGCCAGTTTCAATAAACTATATTTTAACAATAGTGAGCAACAAATTTCTTATAATTAAATGCAATTGGGGAGATACAGCAAAAAAAAGAAAAAGCTTCATTCAAAATCAAAAGGGTATAAAAGTCAATTAGAGCTTCCTGAGAAGAAAAAAACACTTCTAATATCTTTAGTACTAAGTCAATGGTGACAGTAGCTAAAGAGTGAGCAAATCTAAGAGCTGCCTCAAGCACAGGCCTCGTACACCTGAGAGCAAAGAAGGTCTGCTTTAGCCACAACCATATCTAGCCACTCAAACAGGGTTCCTGGGCAGGGGGGGGGGTTGCAGGCCCAAACAATGAAAGAACCACAGGCCACCTTCACCAAAGGGAAGAAAAAAGGAGTTCCCTGATGAGGAACAGAGATGAATTCACTATCTCCTTATATCTTGTCATATAAGTATTCATCTGTTTGATGAATTAATGCATAACTGCTGTATTTTTTTCCAAAGCGTAAAAAAAGGGAATGGTTTACTGCCAGGTTGCCATCTTCATTGCAATTCTAACAACCTCTTCCCATGAAGTTCTAGAAACAGAGCCTGGAGGATCCAGCCAAGTGTGGTATTGTCAGCAATGTCCATTCCAGACTGAAGTGTGCAAGGTACATTTCAGCCTCACTCCAGAATTCTTCATTATATACTAAAGCTCAAATATGGAGCTAGAAAAACAAAAGGAGCCCATGAGGCACCAAAATGTCATGAAGAAACATGTGGGGCCACATGTGGTGGTTTATGCCTATAATCTGAGCACTTTGGGAGGCCAAGGCAGGACGATGGCTTGAGCTCAAAAGTTCAAGACCAGCCTAGGCAACAAAGCACACAAAGCAAGACCCTGTCACTACTAAAAAAAAAAAAAATATATATATATATATATATATATATATATTAACTGGGTGCTTTGGTGTGTGCTTGGAGCCCCAGCTACTCACAAGTCTAAGGTGGGAAAATTGAGAACTGCTTGAGCCCAGGAGGTTGAGGCTGCTAATGAGCCATGATCACACCACTAGACTCCAAGCTGGGTGACAGAGCGAGACCTGCCTCAGAAAAAAAGAAAGAAACAGGTGGGAGGTCACTCACGTGTGGGAACCCTACATTCACTAACCTTAGCATTTTTCAGACAGTCTTATGGTCTGTTTCCTGAAAAGGACAGAAACCCAAGACCATGTATAAACAGTCCCCAGGAGCAGGGATCAGAAAACTTGGATTTCAGTCTTAGCTTTGTACATTGACCCTTAACCTTTCCCTGTTTTAAGGAGCCCCATCAATGAGTAAATTTGATGCAATCTGCTTCAGAAATGATGATTCAATTCCAGAGGAATCTATTTCTGCCTGGCTGCTTTCTAGACATTAAAACTTTTTAAGCCTATGTTCCAAGTTTTAGGGAAACATCAATTCAGATGCTGGAAATCAACAAATACTCAGTTCACTGAAATGACATTCAAGAAAAAAATACTCAGATACTATAAAGAACTTAAAAGTTGACTAATACATATCATTAAATTTAAAAGAAGGTGAGATGATGAAAATAGTTATCAATATGAAAATCTAAAGCATATTAAATGAGTTATTCCCCAATTATATCCATGTAGACAGACAATTTACCTTATACACAGGAAGAAGTTAATTACTCATATATTTGGCCCCTCAACTATTAACAACCTATTAACATAAAATTGTAATCATATTTATATCAGTTAATAATGAGAAAATAATGACAACATACCTTACAGAAGGAATTGGTAAACATTTCTGTCAAAGGCTGTGAAACTGCTAGGTGTGTATCTTCTGAGTTGACCTTAAAAACTGTCTCCAAGCACTGAATTGCAACTTGAAATAAATTTTAATAGTAAAAAACAATTAGCAACTTTAAAAAAGAAACAAGTTTTTTTTTCTGATAGAACTGCAATGTATGGAAATTCAGCATTTATGATCACAGAACACAAGGAAAACATTGGTTCAGCTGCAAAGAAATTTCTGTTTATAGACCAGCTACTGAAGGAAAACACACTGATTTTCTTTCTTTCCTCCCCGTTCCTCCCCCTTCCATTTGCCCTTCCCCTTCCCCTTTCCTTCCTTTCTTCCTTCCTAATTTTTTTTAGAGAAAAGGTTTCACTTTGTGGCCAGGCTGGAGTGCAGTGACACAATTATAGCTCACTGTTGCCTTGACTTCCTGGGCTCAAGGGATCCCCCGCCTCAGCCCCCCTAGTAACTGAGACTATAGGCATGAGCTACATGCTAACTTTTTAAATTTTTTTTACAGAGACAGGGTCTTGCCAGGTTGCCCAGGCTGTTCTCAAAACTCCTGGGCTCAAGTGATCCCCTGCCTCAGCCTCCCAAAGGAGTGGCTATTGATGACTTGCTCTTTCTTTCTGGCAGCCTTCAACAAGAATAGGATGTAATACATATATTGAGAAATTACATTTTAGATAACATTTTTCCTTAAGTGAGGAATAAGAAATCAAGTTGTTGCCAGGTATAGTGGCTCATGCCTATAATTCCAGCACTTTGGGAGGCTGAGTGAGCTATAATTGTTTTCCTTATGTTCTGTGATCATAAATACTGAATTTATGGTGCCTCCCGGGTCAAGCTATTCCCCTGCCTCAGCCTCCTGAGTAGCTGGGATTACAGATGTGTGCCACCTCGCTGATATAACTTTTGTATTTTTAGTAGAGAAAGAGTTTCACCATGTTGGCCGGGGGATCTCAAACTCCCAACCTCTGGTGATCCACCCACCTCTGCCTCCCAAAGTGCTGGGAATGCAGGCATCAGCCACCATGCCCAGCCCACAGCTGCAGGTTTAACAGAGAGTTCAGGGTAGGCCTTACTGAGAAAAGAGATTTGACAAAGACTTGAAGGAGATGGGAGTGCTACCATTATCTGTGAAGACCATTCCAGGCAGAAGAACCAGCCAGAGCAAAAGCCCTTAGGCAAGAGAATATGGTGCATTTATAAAGAGAAAGCTAATATGATTGAAGCCAAAGAAGAAAGGGGACGAGTAGGTGAACAATATGTCACAGAAGTCAAATTATATAGATCCTTTAAACAATGAGTAAGTAACATGAGGAGTCATGAGGAGTCATGGTACTAAGTCATGTTTTGAGTAGATAAATGATAGAATCTGATACACTCTGCTCTTAAAGATCATCGGTGCCTATTTGGAACAGCCAATGAAGGGGCAAGAATAGAAGCAGAGAGACAGTTAGAGGCTATCACACTAAAACAGTCAAGAAATAGTTCTATCCAGAGGTGCTATCAGTGGAGTTGGTAAAAGATCTCAGACTGGACATATTTTGTAAGTGTAGCCAACAGGATTTACTGAATGATTGGTTATAGAGTACTAGAGAAAGAGAAGAGTCCAGAATGATACCCAAGTTGCTGGACTGAGCAATAGAAAAGAGGAAGCTGACATAAACAGAGATAGGGAAATTGCAAATAGAACAGATTTTGGGTGGGGGAATCAGAAGTTCGATTTTGGCAATGTTAAATTGGAGATGCCTATTAGACATGCAAGTGGAGATATCTAGTAGGTACTTGGATATATAAGAAGACCTTCAGAAGAAAGGTCTGGGCTGGGGATATACATTTGGGAAATAGCATACAAGTAAGGGGTGTTCAAGGCTAAGAAGCTGAATGATATCATCAAAGAAATAGGTAAAGATAACGAAGAGAAGAGGATCGAGCAGTGGACCCTGGGCATTCCAGGTCAAAGAAAAGAAGAGGAACCAGCAAAGAGGACAGAGAAGCAGCAAACAATCAGATAAGAAGGCCAAGAAAGTATGAGGTATCCTGGAAGCTAAGCTAATAAAATACACTGGGATTGGGGAAGGGGCGGTGAGGAAGTGACTATCAACATTATCAGTGGCAACTAATAACTCAGATGAAAACTGAGAACTGACCGTTACATTAAACAACACAGAAATCACTAATGACCTTGATGAAAGAGGTATAGATTGAGTGATAGAGGCAAAGGCTTAATCGGAACGGGTTTAAGAAAGAATAGACGGAGAGGGTTAGAGGAAGCCAAGTATGAACAATTCTTTCAAATGGTTTTGCTGCAAAGAGAGACATACAATTAAGCAGTAATGGGTTGGGGGTAGTATGGCAAGGATAACTATTTGCTGTTTGTTTTTGCTTTTTTGAAGAAGGGAGAAACAATGATAAGTTCGCATTATGATAAAAATGATCCAGTAGAGTATGAAAATGTTATAAGATGGAAAAAAACAAAATAACTAGAGTGATATCCTGGAGTAGGTGAGACAGGATGGGATCTGGTATAGCAGTAGAGGGGTTCCATTGAGGAAGGAATATGAATAGTTCATCTATGGTAATAGCTAGTCAAACAGGCAGGCAGGCAGAGTATGTGGGTGCCGCCACAACCAGCTATTTTCTTATTATTTCCATTTTCTTGGTGGAATAGAAAGCAAGGTAATCAACTAAAAGTGAGGAAAGTGGAGGAGGTTTGAGAGTTTGAAAAGATATGAGAAAGTGTTAAAATGGTCATCTAGGAAAATAAATGTACGAATGAACTTGGAACAGAAAGTGTGATTGCCAGACAACATTAAAGGTCTGCTTTAAGTTCACAGTCATGAATTTAAAGTGGGACTAGTCAGCAAAGTTGTGTGTTTTGCTCCATTTATATATGGCTACAAGAGTGGGTGTGAGTAGGTGGATACAGAGCAAGTGGAGAGTTGGATTTAAACGAAGTTGGGCTTTGCAAGAAAGGGAAGGAGGTACAAGGGAATGATTATAATGATCAACCATGGAATTTAGGAGGAGTAAGAAGAGATGGGGGAAAAGGTGAGGGATGAACAGATTGCAGGTATTGGTTGGGTCAAGGAATTGCTGGAGTAGGGATTCTAGAGGGAATGAGCTTGGAAAGACAGGCAATAGTGATCAGGAAGTGAAATGTTTGGGATAGATTAGGGGAGGAATGCAATTCTGGTAATGATTAGGTCTCCAGAAGTCTTTCTCAATCTCTGCATACTGACATGTTAGATCAGGTACTTTATTCTTGTCAGGGGCTGTCCTGTGCATTAGCAGCATCCATGGCCTCCACCCATTCGCTAGATGCCAATAATACCAGCCACCCCCTTCACCCAGTTGATGACAATCAGAATGTATCCAGATATTGCACAATCACCCCTGAGTTGAGAACACTGATCTAGGATATGATCAAGTCTTTGAGATCACTGGAAGAGGTCAAGAACTGAGAGCCAGGGAACTAAAAGAATCATCTATCAGTATATTGCAATTGCCAAGATCTAAATAGGAGTAGTGCTAGAGGGAGTGACAGTGAACAGGAACCACAGTGAGTCAAGGAATGAAGCAAATGTCAGCAGATGCCAATTTTTTTTTGAGAGAGGGAGTCTCTCTCTGTTGCCCAGATTGGAGTGCAGTGGCACGATCTCAGCTCACTGCAACCTCCGCCTCCTAGGTTCAAGTGATTCTCCTGCCTCAGCCTCCTGAGTAGCTAAAACTATGGGCGTTCACCACCACGCCCAGCTAATTTTTGTATTTTTAGTAGAGATGGGGTTTCACTATGTTGGCCAGGATGGTCTCAATCTCTTGACCTCGTGATCCGCCTGCCTCTGCCTCCCAAAGTGCTAAGAGGAGTGGGTGACATATCTGATGGTAAGACAAAGCTGATGATACATTGCTTCACAGTAGTGGTAAAGCTGGTATTAGAACTGAGGCTTCTTTCCCAAGGCTTTAAAAAATGTCTAGAAGGTGGGCAGACACCTCCACATGATTTCATGTTCAATTAAATTAGACTCACAGAGTCAAAAATAGGGGTCAGTCAAAAACAATTGGCACCCTTTCTGACTGCCATATATAACAAACAGCTGAAGGCACATATTTTTGGCTGAATACCATCCTAAAAATAGGGCATACCATCTTGGTTTAAAAAAAAAAACCTCTCAATTTTCTTTCTGGCCCTTAAAAGTTTTATGCTGCCTTTGATTAGAAAAGAAACATCTTTTCTTAAATGACTACGTTTATCTGTTTGCTACAGAGCAATCATAACTAACATTCTCCTTAGATAATCAATCAACTTTATCTTCACAGAGTCTAACCATCAAGGAGAACAAAAAAGACCTTAATATTAAATGGACTGATTGTAATGTTCTCCAACTGTGCATGACCTGCTCCTCTCTCTGCCACCTGGAAAGACATCATCTAGCCAGACTGTAAGCAGATTTAGAGCAAATGCCCAATTTTTATCTCTACCTCCTAAAAGCATATTCACAGGGAAGTGCTTCCTGAAATTAATAGATGTGTCCGCTTTATAGGAGAAGCAGTTTCAAGATGGTAAATTTAAACTGTACTGTTATTTATTAAGTTCTTCCAAATGCACTTCATTGCAGTAATTAAGACTTTAGGGCTGGGAGGGGTGACTCACGCCTGTAATCCCAGTACTTTGGGAGGCCAAGGCGAGTAGATCGCTTGAGCCCAGAGTTCGAGACCAGCCTGGGCAACATAGTGAAACCCTGTCTCTATAAAACGTGAAAAACTTAGCCAGCCATGGTGGTGTGCTCCTGTAGTCCCAGCTACTTGGGAGGCTGAGGTGGGAGGATCGCTTGAGCCCAGCAGGTGGAGGTTGCAGTGAGCCGAGATCATGCCACTACACTCCAGCCTGGGTGACAGAGCCAGACAAAGTCTTAAAAATAAATAAATAAACAAATAATAGTCTTTAGGCCACAGGGACACCAGATTCACTGAACCGCCACAAGCCCATCTGCAGAATTCTACCTTGTTATGGTTGTACTGAATTTAAACTTAATAATACATAAACATGAAGAACAAAGATGGTGTCAGGGAAACACACGATGCTATCACCCATATCCTGTTCAACTTTGCAGATTCCTGAATGCAATATTTAAAGTTAACGTAAAACACAGGTGAAATGCTCTCATTTCAAGTTCCAAATTAGGTGCTGGTCAGATCTCACTAGCGGTATAATTATTAGACTTCTACATGGTGCTATTACAATGACTCAGGTATTTTCATATATTATTTCTAAATTGGATGCTTTCCTATTAGGAAATGGAAACAACAAGATCTTCAGAGTAAGAACCAGGATTTAAATCTCAGCTTTGTCACATATCAGCTGTGTTATGTTATGCTATTTGACTTCATTTTATTTTTCTTTTTTTTTTTTTTTTGAGACAGGGTCTCCCTTGTGGCCCAGGCTGGAGTACAGGGGTGCGATCTCAGCTCACTGCAGTCTCTGCCTCCCGGGTTCAAAACATAGCAGGGCATAACATCTTGGTTTAAAAAAAACTGGAGGAGGCCTGTCTCAGCCTCCCGAGTAGCTGGGACTATAGGCAAGTGCCACCATGCCTGGTTACTTTTAGTATTTTTAGTAGAGACAGGGTTTTCCATGTTGCCCAGCCTGGTCTCGAACTCCTGACCCTAAATGATCTACTCACTTCTGCCTCCCAAAGTGCTGGGATTACGGGCATGAGCCACAAAGCCTGGCCCTGGTTTCATTTTCTCACTTGTTAAATGGGGGTAATACTAACATAACAGTTGCTGTGAAGAAAAAATTGCCATAATATGAACAGCATACTTCTGATATATAGTATTTGTTTAATAAATTAATCCTCTTAATTTGTTATTAATGAAAACAAAACAAGCTTCAGAAAATGGAAATATGATAATCTTATAGTTAGGCCTGTCTCGAAAGATCAAGAAAATATACTGATCTTGTTACAATAAATCATCAAGTTGGGCTTACAGCTATTTTAGTCTTCATTTATAATTATAATATAAATGCACATAAAGAGCAGATGCCTACCTTCCAAACTTTCTTGTTCATCTGAGGTGTAAGTATCCATCTGACTTTGTTCCCGTAAGAAACGAATAACTGCATAAACCAGGTGCTTGACAGATGACATTTTAGAAGCTTAAACACTTTTCCTTGATAAGAAAAATGAAAACACTGAACTAAGTTAATTTTAAGGAATCAGTCAGGGAAGTCATAAATTACAAAGATTGTATGGGTTATAAACTGCATTAAAGGTAAAAAACAAAACACAAAACTGTATGACCTCTCATCTTTTCTCTTTTTAAAGAGTCAGGAGAACACGAAGTACTGTGAAGGTAATTTATTACATATTTTCATTAATACCCAGTGGTATACAAGTATGTTAAATCTTACAATAAGTAAAAATGTCTTCAAAACATGTACAAAATAAGCTTAGACTGTCACTGTATGTCTCACCATACAGAAATCCCCTAAAGGCCTCGGTACTAAGTTGAGAAGCATTTCATACGGTTGACTAGAAGCTGATCTACACCAAGCATCTTCCTCTATTTCCTGGGATCTAAAAAATGTATTAATAATGTACACTCTACCTACTTTATTAGGTTGAGAGTTATTTGATGAGGAAATACATTTGCAAAAGGTTGTTCAACTGGTGAGTGTCGTTCTTAATAAAAATGGCATTTCTATTCAATCAGCAGACATGTCAGGAAATCGCTGCCCAAGTCGATGGATACTACAAGCCAACCGGCGCTCCCTGCAGAGGCTGTGCTCTCGTGGACAGTCTGGAAGCTCCCGGTCATGTTCATTCACATGGAATACTATCGCATCCAAACAGTGGCGCAGGGCCAGCCGGCATTCATGGCTTATTTCCACTAAATGGCATCATCCATCTGCTCCCCAGGTTCCCTAATTCAAAGCCAGGGTGTGGTACCCGCCGCTATAATGTTTATTATTTGTGTGCTTATTTTAAAAGCGATGTCAGCCTCTAGGCCACGGGGTCACAAGCACTAAATAAGGCCCCTGGGCAGAAGGTGAAAACAGAATGGGGGGTAAAAGGGGTGCGAAGAGGGAAAGAGATGCCCAGCCTCGTCCAGGCTTCTCCCCCTTCCTCTCCCCAGAGCGCATCGAGCTCCCCCTCCATCCCGTCCTCCCTCGGGTACCCAGCCTCGCCTCGCCCCTGCCCGGAGTGCAGCGGGAGCCGGTACGGGCCTCGGTCCGGGACAGCGGGAGGCGCACCCTTGCCAGAGAAGCCCCCTTACCAAGCAGAAGGATTTGAGATGACGGCTGCGGCCCCGTGGGGTTCCGTAGACCGGCCCGCCTGACCCCCGGTCCTCGGGGCTGGAGCCCGGCTCGGGAACGCAGCACTAGCGGCGGCGCGCAAACTTCCCCGGCCCCCACGCCGCCCCCAGAGCCCACCCGGCTGTGCGTTAGCTCCGGCGGCGGGGTCTGGCCAGCACCGCCCCTGGGGCGGGGCCGGACGCGTGGGCCGGGGCGGGGCGGGGCGGGGCGCGGCGCGGCGCGGCGCGGGGCGGGGCCGGTGGCCGCCGGCGTGGGGCTGCCGCACGTGGGAGGGCGCTGGCCAAGCCGCCACCGCCGCTGTGGCCTCTGCAGCTAGGCGACTCGTGACTCCCGGGCGCCCCGGCGCTGCCGCCCGCCTCCCAGCCCTGCGCCGAAGGACCACGCGCCCGCCGCCGCCAGCCTCTCGGCGCTCCCATGATCGCCCCGTGCCTTTTGGCTGTGCGAAGGCTCCGCAGGTACCTCCAGTGCGCGGGTTAACCTGGGCCGCGGGCAGGGCGGGGTCCTCCGCCGGGTGGTGCTGGGCGCCCCGACCCAGCGCTTCCCGGCCGCGCCGCTCGGACGCTCCTGGGACACACCCTCCCCTCAGCTTGCAAGGTGGACCCCGAGGGGACACCTGGCGCGGCCACCTGGGGCCTCCTTTCCCGCCTCCGCTCCCTCGGGAGGACGTCCATTCCCCTTTGTTTGGGACTGCCTCAGCCGCAGTCAGCGAGGCTGGTCACAGACGCGGCCCAAAATGAATGCGGATAGTCTGGCTAAGAAAATCATTTCATGTTTGCCCTCCATGCTGAACTGCAGACCTGTCATTAAAAGTGCCGCAGCTGTGGACTCAGAACAATTTCGTTTGCCCCTCGCGCCCATCATTAGCATTCCAATCGTTTACATCCACCCCACAGGAAACCTCTTTGGTTTTGTTGCTTATTTCCGTCCATGCTCTCTAACTTCCTTTTTATTTTCCTCCTCCCCACAAAGCAAACATTCTGCCTCTTGCCGGGGCAAAATGACTTGGCCCAAAATAGAGAAAATGATTGCTTGGACACGGCTTTGGGCAGCCTGAGCTGCTGCTTTGGATTGCTTCCTAACCCTCTAACCACACCCCGCTGCAAGAGACCAGTAGCAAGATGGTGAGGGTATTAAATTCTTTGCACGGATGTGCTGGATTTTGGAAACAATGCCGCCTCTATCCCCGTTTCCAAATCTGCCCAGAACTGTAAATCCAAATGAAGATTCAACAGAGAAAAGGAAATGTGCGCTTCTTGTTAGCGATCAACAAAACTACTTTCTAACATGTCAGCATCTGAGCTTTCTACAGTTCACTCTTGATCATTACCACTCATCTATGTGGGAGCTTTGTGTTGCTCAGTGCATAGAGTTAGGGAGCAGGCAGGCGACAGTTGTAATTACAAAGAGTTAATGTGATGATTTGTGACCATATTTCAGCCTGTCGTTTTTTGCTAGTCTCCAGGCTGCAAGGGATATTGCTGTCAAATGAAGCTATACCAAGAAATGAAGATCTTCACATAATGCAGGTGTGAGAAGAGGGAATAAATCTTCATATAAGACCAATTCTCAAACTTTTTAGTCTCAGGACCCTTTACGTCTCAAAAGTTACCGAGGACCTAAGAGCTTCTGGCTGTATGGTGTATCTGTCCATATTTACCATATTAGACATTAAAGCTGGAAAAATTTTAAAGTAGTTGCTAATTTACAAAACAGTAATAAATGGACTACATGTATAAATAATGCTTTTAATGAAAAATAATTGTTTTCGAAACCCTACCCCCCCATCAGTGAGAAGAGTACAATTGTGGGATTTTTTTTTCTTTTTAAAATTGTGGTAAGGTATAACAAAACTTACCATTTTAATAATTTTTAAGTGTACAATTCAGAGGTACAGCCAACACCACTGTCCATCTCCAGAACTTTGTCATCATCCCAAACTGAAACCCTGTACCTATTACACAATAACTGCCCATTACCTCCTCTCCCAAGCCCTGGTTAACCATTATTTTTTCTCTATGAATTTGACTATTTCAGGTCCCTTATATAAGTGGAATTATACAACATTTGTCCTTTTGCGTCTGGTTTATTTAGTATAGTATTTTTAAGGTTTGTTCGTGTTGAAGCATGTGTCAGGATTTCCTTTTTAAAACTGAATAATATTTCATTTATGTATATACCACATTTTGTTTAATTTGTCAGTGGGCATTTGGGCTGCTTCCACTTTTTAACTATTGTGAATACTGCTACTATGATTATTAATGTGCACATATCCGTTTGAATCCCTGCTTTTAAATTCTTTGTGATACTGTATATACCTAGAAGTGAAAATTGCTGAGTCATAGGATAGTATTACGTTTAGTTTTTGAAACCATACTGTTTCCTTCAGTGGCTGTGCCAGTTTTACATTCCCGTTGGCAATACTCAAGGATTCCAATATCTCCACATGGTCATCAGCAATTATTTCTTGGTTTTGATAACAGTCATCCTAGGAGTGGCATTGTTTTGCATTTTTACAAAACTAATGTGTGACATAATAGAAGGTAACTGGATTCTTACATCTGCTTCTCCATTTAATATGCTGCACTGTTTCATTTTTTTTTTTTAATTTATTTTTTTCATTGCATTTTAGGTTTTGGGGTACATGTGAAGAACATGCAAGGTTGTTGCATAGGTACACACATGGCAGTGTGATTTGGTGCCTTCCTCCCCTTCACCTATACTGGCATTTCCCCCCACGCTATCTCTCCCCACCTCCCCACCTCCCCACCCCCACGTCCCTCCCCCATTTCCCCCCAGCAGACCCCAGTGTGTAGTGCTCCCCTCCCTGTGTCCATGTGTTCTCATTGTTCAACACCCGCCTATGAGTGAGAACATGCGGTGTTTGATTTTCTGCTCTTGTGTCAGTTTGCCGAGAATGATGGTTTCCAGGTTCATCCATGTCCCTACAAAGGACACGAACTCATCATTTTTGATGGCTGCATAATATTCCATGGTGTATATGTACCACATTTTCTCTGTCCAGTCTATCATCGATGGGCATTTTCATTTTGGTTTAAGAAGATGAAGAAAATCCCACCTCACAATCATATGAACTTGGAAAGAAGAAAATTTTAATAGCTTTTTAAAGATAATCATGGATATTCTTTGATATCACATCAAAGTTTGACAAATGGTAGCTTAAGGGTTAGTTACAAAATAGAATCTGAAGCTATATCAGTACTTTTTTCACACTGTTAGATTAATATCCATTGGTGTACCTTACACTTTGAATGGATTTTTTATCCATGCCTGATTTTTTAAATATTAAGCATAAGTCCTTTGGAAATTTTAGTGGTCCGCTGTTACACAGTTCTTCCTCGTGCTGACAGATTTCATTACACAGTATCAAACAATCACTTTCCTTAATGTCTTTCCATTTCATCAGAAACTTCTTCAAGTATTGAGAAGCTATCAAGTTCACAGTGGCAGATAGGATTTTCCAAAATTCTAGTTTTCACTTGAAAGCTAGAATTATATCATTGGCAACACAAACTGTCAGTTGTTTTACTTGAAATGACAATCTCACTTTGTTACATTTTTGACAGAATTTCTGCCACATACTTAAGTCTGAATAACCCGGGATTTGTCTGTCATTAGTTTTTTTCTGGCAAAAATGGTGTTCTATGAAAAAAAGTGATTTCACCTCAAGGTTCAATCAGTTGCACAAGCGCTTTTGATGTGGGCAACCAAATCCTCTGGACAACTCATGCTCAAGTACATAGCAGAAATGCTTTGTGTGTTCTTGGGCACATAAAAGTCAAGGGTAGAGATTTAATAAAATCCATACTTTTTACCATTTCATTACAGATATTCTAAAATGAAATTGACATTATTTTTAGCTTGAGTACATGGCAATGAAAAATACAGCTACTAGTACAGTTTGGTACTATTGCCTCAATTTGTGCTAAAGTACCAACAATGTTATCCACCGTCGCTTTTCACCATCAGTGCAAATGTTCACAAAGCAAAAAAGATAATGTCTTAGTATTATTATGAAAGATTTTTAACCTCACAGACTCTTCAAAAGGGTCTCAGTAACCCCTCCCCATACCTCTACCTTTAAGGTTTGTGGACTACATTTTGAGAACCGCTGATATGTGGTATTAGATTCTTTGTTTATGCATGGAAGAAAATAAATATACTAATAGCCAAAAAATTATTATCTTGTTAGAAGCTACCATAAATATATTAACTATTTTGTTACATAAGAGTATATCTTGCAGTTAACCATCATATACAGTAGTCCTTAACCCAGGGCTTCCATGACTTAATCCCAGAATCTGCTCTGTTTTAAAATCAGTATCTCTAAAAGAGTTCATATTAGACAACATGGAGGACCCTCTGTTTTTCCTGTTTCCTCTGACACTTAGGAATTTATTTTAGTGTTATGGGAGTAACTAGGCTTTTGCCATAGTTTCCCTTGGGTTTTCTTGTTGGCAGAACTGCTATACCCGCTTCCCAAGCCCAGCTTGGCAGCCAGGATTATTGATGGGGGTGTTCAGGCTATTTCGTGGGAATAAGTGGACTGAGAATCTGGAGTTTGGATTATAGTTGCTGTCCAATTCACTTTGTGATCTTAAAAAAAATTACACCCTTGGACCTCTTTCAAGTTACTTATGTATATATGTATGTATGAATGAATGTATTTATTTTAGAGACAGCGTCTCACTCTGTCATCCAGGCTGAAGTTCAGTGGGGCGTGATCATGGCTCACTGCAATCTCAAACTCTGATTTCGAATAATCCTCTCCGCCTTAACCTCCTGAGTAGCTGGCACTGTAGGTGCTCACCACCATGCCCAGCTAATTTTAAAAAATTGTTTGTAGAGATAGGATCTTGCTATGTTGCCGAGGCTGGTCTAGAATTCCTGGCCTCAAGTGATCCTCCCATCTCAGCCTCTAAAAGTGCTGAGATTACAGGTGTGTGCCATTATGCCTGGCCCAGGTTTATTACATTGTAAGATGAAAAAAACTAGTTTAAATAATATCTCAGGCTTAAAAAACGAAAACAAAAACCAGCAACTATCTTGCCGTAGCAAACCAGGAGAATTCCTCTTCCTACCTCAGTCAGATTACACAGCATGTGAGCAAAGCAAAGTCCAATGTATATTATAGAACATGAGGATGAGTGACATGGTCAAATAAACAAGTGAGAAGGTTGACTCAACAATATTTAGCTGAAACAACAGCTATAATAGCCTAGTTTCCTCTTTCAATTAAAAAAGACAGCTTGGTTTGTTTTTTGGCTTTTGTTTTTTTAAGACAGTCTCGCTCTGTTGCCCAGGCTGGGATGCAGTGGCACAATCTCAGCCTACTGCAACATCTCTGCCTCCCGGGTTCAAACAATTATCCTGCCTCATGCTCCCAAGTGGCTGGGATTACAGGTGCCCACCACCACGTCTGACTAATTTTTTTTAC